CAGTTGCCCAGCCACCGCACCAACCGTGCAGTCATCAAAAAAACGGAAATCAAATCCAAACAAAAAGCACAACCTACCAATCAACTAAAAAGCCTTTCTAAAACAATAATAACCTCTAATAGACCTTAATTTCAATCAATAAAATAGTTTATTAGATAATAATAATAATAATATAATAGTAAGATATCGATATAATAACATTACACCGACTGTGTAACATTACTGTAACGTGTTACGTAACGAGGTTACGGAGAAAGCGTGGCTTTGTCTTCACTTTGGCAGGTTAGGGTGCGTTTACAGTGCAGGTCTTGGTCGATGCGACGATTTTTTAATACTGTGTTCGGCGTAAAAATACCTCTATATTGATATATAGTGTCGTGGTGGCCCGGAGGTTGAAGACGCCTGCTTCTCATGCACGAGGGTGCAGGTTCGAAACCTACCAACGGCAAGTACCAATGTGACTTTTTCCGAGTTTTACGTACTTTCTAAGATTATTTAGACACCACTGACCAACGGTGAAGGAAAACGTCGTGAGGAAACCTGGGCTTATAATTTCTAATTATAAGTTTGAAATTGCCCACCCGCATTGATCAAGCGTGGTGATTAATGCTCTAACCTTTCCCGTGTGAGAAGAGGCTTTGCTCAGCAGTGGGCATTTATAGGCTGTTGATGATGATGAAGATGAAAAATATATTAAACAATACACAAATGAAGGTTTGTCTTGACTTTTTAGGTAGGTTGTGTGTATTGTGAAATACAATTTTTTAAGACTTTCTATAATATTTAATTCATTCAAAAAACTACTTAAACCTATGCTTTTCTTTCTTTACCTACTAGCGACCCGCCCCGCCCTTGCACGGGTGCAATATGCATGTATTATACATATAAATCTTCCTGAAGAATCACTCTATCTATTAAAAAAACCGCATCAAAATCCGTTACAGTTTTAAAGATCTAAGCATACATAGGGACAGACAGACGGTGGATTATTGTAGTGGTGGTAGATTATTATCATGTAAAACATTAGACACGTATTTTTTCCTTTCTCACAAAATTAAATACTTTCGACGACATATTAATTTGAAATAACGACCTCTCAGGACAATTTGAAATAACGACACCTAAACTTAACGCCATTTTATCTAAGTACCTATTGTAACTTTTTTTCATTATCTAACTGACGGACCATTTAGATTTTTAATATTTATATGTACTGGCAACTACCCTATTATATTAAATTAATATTAATTCGCATTGCTACGTTAGACTGTATCGGTTTGTCGCGGAGAACGTAACCGGTAACCGGGGCTCCGGCTCGAAGTGCAGGAGAAGGAACGGGGTGGTTTTTAGTCAGTAAGAGTCTGACACTGATTACTGCTCCCGCCTCACCCAGGCGGGAGAAGTCATTCGATGATTTTCCCCCTTTAAAAAACAAGACTGTATTGGTTTGTTGAGCATATTTTAAAGTCAGTTTTAAAATTGAAATTTTAAACCTATATTGATGCTCTTATATTCTTATTGCATCTTAATGAAGGGAATCATTGATGTGAATATTTCTAGAATCATTTTGCTTCTCTTAAAACCTAGCTTTTTCTCCACTAGGTTGAAGCACTGTATTATATCCGGATTCGGCTAAATGCTAGTGCAATTTTATCTACGAATAACATCTATCAGTTTTTTATTAGCTTTGAAATTCATGTATAAAATAAAAGCAACATCTGAATCTAACAAAACATAAACATCACGCCTTTATCCCAAAGAGGTAGGCAGAGGTGGACATTACGGCACTTAATGCCACTGTACAACGTAACACCCACTTTTCACTATTTATATTATGAGTCCTATGTAATAGGGGGTGAGCCTATTGACATATCCGTGTTACTACTGAGATTTTTTTTAAAAAACCCAGTAATACTTTGCCTGACCTGGAAATCGAACTCGAACAAAAAGGCAGTCTAATAACACACAGTAGGTACATCCTTTTTTAATCACCAACCAATTTTCCAACACATTTTTTTTTATTCACATGTCCTACAATATATACATTAGTCTTAAATACCCTGCCTCCATTAAAGACGAGCCCTAATAACAAATAGCCGGATCTTGCTTTCACTGCTAACGCGAGGCGCGTGGCTCGTGGCGTAACATTACGGAACATACTGCCAAAACATGGCGGTCGACATAATACACTGATTTCATTATTCCTTTTGAATACCTTGTTACGACTGTGTCGAGTGGGCGCAAGTGCGACTGCTGGTCAAGAGGTCTCGGGTCGATTCTCGGGTCGGGCAAAGTATTACTGGGTTTTTAAAAATCTCAGTAGTAGCATTTTTGATCTGCTGGACAATGACCAGCTGCAGACAAATTCACCAACATGATTTTGGTCAGAAATCGCTATTTAATTTCGGTCGTAATCATTACAAGGTACATACATACATAACATCATGCTTTTTATCCCCGAAGGGGTAGGCAGAGGTGCACATTACGGCATTTAATGCCACTGTACAAT